CCGTCCAAGGTAATTGGCCGAGCCATGAGCAACACTAAACAAATTAGGCTACTTCGAATGACCCACTTAGGGTGTCAGGAGGGTACGTTCATTTTGGTGTCGACATTCCACTTCAATCATCGGCCGAAGCCTATGAAGACTAATCCAACATAAACGGTTTAACATCATCGCTCGAATTTATTGGGTATCAAAAACCCAACACACGCATTACTGAGCAGCTACATGCCAAGCTGGTTGAAGTCGGAATTTGACTCCAAGTCCACCAAATATTCCAAGGACTTCGCTGTTTTTGATCGCGAAGTGGCAGAAAGCCTGCAGGTTTGAACGTTGTCAAGCCTACATTTTGTTTCCTGTTCTCTGTTTTTCCTTTGGATGGATGGGGTGGCATGTACAACTGTGTTCCATCTCAACCTATTACCTGAGTAGTAAAGTTGGTGTCCTATGTTTAAACAAGTAGCAAGTTGGTCCTCAACCTTCCATTATAATTGCACAATCGAATCCCCTATTATGGAAACTGATAAAATCTTTGTTATATCGTCAAGTGGACCTTATATTAACTTTAGAAGCTAGTTTTGTTTCCCAACTTGAGCCAGTGCCCAGAAATTTTAAGTGATGCGCATTTCCACAAGGACCACAGGACGATTTAATAGATTATAGAGGTTTCTTTATGGGGGGATTGATTGTGAAACTCTAATAAAAGGTTGAGGATCAACTTGCGTTTTTTTTAAGGTTGAGGACCAACAGTGCAGTTCTCCTTTATTCTTGCAGTTTCTTACTACAAATTGACGGATACTAGTTGTTTATTAATGGCTGTGGTGTGTTGTGTCTGATTCGTCATGTAACTGTGATTGCAGAATGACTTGGATCGAATGATATTGCCCGAGACAATTCGGTGGCGCATCCAAACCGCGATGCCAATTCTTTTTCCATCCATTCGGCATTCGATCTCTTGCCAGCCTCCATCCGTGTCCCCTGCTGCCTTTTCTTTTCTTCAGCCCAGCAATCTATTAACCATATCAAATCCTAGCAGTTCGATTTTGCCTCAAGAGGAATCAAGCTTCATTAATACGTTCAACCACAAATGTGAAAACAAAGCTGTTGCTAGTAGAGCAGGACCCTGATCATGAGATTGATCTGTGGACTGTTTTGGAGGACGGAGCCGGATCAGGACAACCGTCAAGTAACTCTGCTGTAAATGGAAGCACTGATCATGCTAATGTGAAAGCATCAAACTGGCTTAAGGGGGCAATAAGAGTGAGGAGGACATATCTTACATATATTGGTTCTATGGACGAGGACAGTTGATGATGTTGGGAATTTACTTAATCA